TGGGCGGTTGTCAAGATTATGGTCCCGTGTTGGATCCCTATTATAATACGGCACCTAATATGTAGGGCACCCAAAATCCCAAAGGGATCATAATTTTGACAACCATTTGGCTTAGGACTTTCGGGTTTGTGTGTTCAGTTCGGGGAATGAGGTCTAGGATCTTGGGCCTAGAGCTTCAGGGATTGGCGAGGGCTTAAGGTCGAGGGTTGGGTCTTAGGGGCTTTACGGTTTTTAGGGTTGGAGGTATTCGGGCTTAGGCTTTTAACCCTAGGTACCCTTAACCCCAAAACTTCACACCCTAGACCCTAAACCCTCAACCCTAAACCCCTAAACCCTAAACCCTAGGGTTTAGAGAGTCATCCTGCAATCCTGGGTTGCTCTTCTTCGCCGATATTTGCCGTAGATGGTTCCTGCCGACAAGAATATGTAATCATATGAGCTGCGTATATTTGTATAATATATATATATATACATATACATGTGTATATGTATAGGGTTTGGGGTTTAGGGTTTAGGGTTTGAACTCCTTAAGGGGGAGGTTAGATAGGAGATTATATAGGTGAGTATTGTAGGGGTTATTGGGAGGATACTAGGACCTACTGGGAGTTTAGACTATTCTCATGATATGAGTATATAGTAAATACAAACCTTCCTGTATTATAGTAGATGCCCTTCGGTTCCGTAACAGCAATCCGAGGTGCCTCGCCGATCCCTTGGCACTCTTTCGTGCTCCCGTTTGCATGCCTGCGCCGCTGGGGCCCTAGTATGCCGTCTTCGCAAAGCGACAGCCCCTCCATCAATCCCTTGCAATTGGGTGCATACTCCTGGGATATTGCCTGAACCCAAAAGTAGGTCTGGAATGATAGTCCAAAACCACTAAAAACAGCCCTAAAGGCCACTATGTTACATACTTTTTAGGGTTCAGGTGCAGCGGAGTTCTTATTATGCCCTCAACCTTAAAACCTTAAACCTATGATGACCAGAGCCGAAGACCTGGGAGTTCCTTCACCTCATACTCAAAAGTTTAGGGTTCAGGGTTTAGGGTTTAGGGTTTAGGGTTTAGGGGGGTAGGTTTGAACATAATTATTAAAGCTTGTTACCCTTAATTTCCTGTGTTGTTCTTGTAAAGCCATGTTTGGTACCCTGAATTTCCTGCATAATTCTTACGAAGATGTAAAACTTGTACTTTTATAGGGCCCCCCGACCTACCCTAGTTATTAAGGTTTCGGGGAGTCTGATGTTCCTATATCTCCTGTTTTGTTGTATCTCGAAGATAGGCCCTAAGGCTTAAACCGTTAAGCCCCAAGGCTAGGAGCCTAAACCCTGAGACCTAAGCCATAAGCCTTTAACCACCTAAACTCTAAACCCTAAACCACCCAAATCCCCAAACCACCTAAACCCTAAACCCGAAGCCACCTAAATCCCCTAAATCCCAAACCACGTAAACCCTAAACCATCGGCCAAAACGCTTCCAACCTCCTGGGGCTCGCTAAGCCCCAAGCAGAATCTCAAGTCTCTCAAGGCAAGTACCGGGCCTAACACCAAATTGGTCGCCGGTCTCGCCCACTGGAAAAAAAGCTGGCGACTGGAGACTGGATTTAAGGTTTAGTGTGTAGGTTTCCGGGCTTACTTGGAGGGTCAGGGGCACTCCGTTAGTAGGTTATGATAACCGCTACAACGCATGTAGTAAGCCTAGCTTTCCCCATTATTAACCTATCAACCTACTCACTCAGTCCCCACTAACCCTAAATTCCCCGAAGCCCTAAACCCAGTATACAGGTTTCCATTTTCTTTTCCATTCCTTCATTCCCAAGGGTTCAGGGTTTAGCATGTAGCATTCAAGCTGTAGGGTGGATCTTTCGAGCTTTGTCTGGGGTTTAGGGTTTAGGGTTTAGGCTTTAGGAGGAAGGTTGTAGAGTTCAGGATTAAGTATAGCACATCAACTGGGCAATTTAAAGCGACCTCACCCGAAATGGTGGTATATAGGGAATGGTACCAAAATCGCCTTAAATTGTCTGAAGGTTCTTGAGAGTTTTGCCAGGTATATGACTTCATATGCGTAGGCACATGTTGTGTTGTTCTCTTCAGCATTTTGGATGAATTCCCAGTGCAGACTGTGTTGCAATTCCTGGGGTCCCCAGAGAACTGTCGGAACTGATATCCCAAATCAGAAGCTCCATGCAACATTTCATCTTGTGTTTGGTTCTGGTCCACTATGTATGGTAAGCTCGGTTTGGATCAGCCAGAACGGTTTAGGGTTTAGGGCTGATGCCCCCAATCATGGAGACTCAAATGGAAAAGAATGTTGAGAATCAAATGGATGCATAGGGGATTGTAGGGATTATTTCCGAGATTCTCTTTGTATAGCGATAGTATCAGGTACCTCCAATCGACTCCAACAAATGGCTAGGGTGGACCCCAAAATAGACCTCAATATTTTACAATCCTTATTGTGGGACCCCCCAAGAAAGGACCCCGACTTCTGGGCAACCCCCGAAATGATATGGGCTTCTACAGTACACCCCAACAGGTGGAAACTTCAGGTCCCTGGGCTTGTGGTTTAGAGTTTAGGGTTTAAGGTTTTAGGTTTTGGGGTTCCACGATTGTTAGGTGACAGAAGATGGCAAACCCTAAACCCTAAACCCCATAAATGATGAGCTCAGAGGCTTGGAGGGGGGAGGCCTTAAACACATTAGCTCTTTTCTCTGTAGTCCCCTCAGGGATGTTTTACATTATAGTATAGCCCTAAGGAACTATCAAACATCTGTCCTTTATAGGTCCTTAGTCACGGATTAACTGCCTTTAGGCTGGTACACCAAGGCCGAAAAGGATGCAAGAAAGGGGGGCATTATGACCTTGCGGTTTTCTGCTTTGTGAGCTGGTATAGAAAGCCTTAGAGCGCTGAGCTTAAGGTTTAAGGTTCAGAGTTTAGGGCCTAGGGACTTTAGGAGGGACCCCTAATAGGGACCTTTATTCCCATTGCCATATATAAGCCTTACATAGGCATTATATAACCCCTCTATCCCTAGGTACTCCCTAAATTCACCCCCGGTTTAGGGTTTAGGGTTACTATCCAGAAGCCCACAACGAGGCCCAACAGTGTCAGACACCATGTTGAACAGCACACATGAAGGGCCAAATGATGACTAGCACGCAGCCTCAAACGGCAGTGTCCCTGTGAGATTTCGGGCAGGATTCTTGAAATTATATAAATTATATATATATATGCATACATATACATATGTATATATATAGATATATATATGAACATGTCTACATCTATGTATATGCAGTAGTTTCAGCTTTCTTTCCATTATTCCGACAGAACCTCTATATACCTTTCAACCCCGTCAAAAGTTTGAGCTTTGTATCATTGTTTCAGCTTAGGGTTTCAAACTTCGACGCTAACAACCCTAAGTCCGCATGGATCTCAACCCTGCCGCCCAAGCACTATAAGCCTTGATCCTCCAAACCCTCAGCCTATAAGCCAAAGCTCAACGCAGAGCAGGCACCCCAAACCCTAAACCCTCATTCAAAAGCACACATACCCCTCATGGATGGACAGTGGGGGAGCGCGTCCCCGAAATGTCGTGGCGGCGAACAAGGCCATAGCCAGGGCCCGCGCATGGAGACGTGTTGTGCATCTGCGGCTGCCCCAGCTGGGAGAAGAGTGGGCACTTGGAGGGTCATGGGGACTTAGTACGTAGGTTGATAAGGGGATAACTAGGGTTATTACATGGCTTATAGGGGTTATTCACCTGCTTACTAAGTTCCAATGACCCTCCAAGTAGTTCAAGGAGGCTTCAAACTCCAAGGCTTAGGGCAGGGGCGTAGGTTAGAATATTGGGGTCTAGGGCTGCAGCCCCAGCAGAAGGCAGGTTTGGAGTAGTTTTACAGAGTCTAGGGTCCGAGGCCTCCCAGTAAGCTATGTTGCTGACTGTTGCCTGTCAACCTGCGCCATTCTTGTGCAACATGTATGGGGGTTTCCCAAAAATATGGTTACCTTTTCGAGATCCCTATAATAAGGACCATAATAGTAGTATGGGATCTCGTATGGGATCTACATTGGGGTCCCCCTATTTAGGGAAACTACCGTATGCTGCAGTATAGATAAGAAGTCGCATTCGGGTTGAAGGTGCAAGTTCCTCCATTGCAGGGACCGTGGCAGTCACGGACGGGCTGATAGAAAAGGGGCTCGGGTAGGAAACTGGGGCAAGCGATTGCCATTCAGCATAGCCTCAGCAGATTCAACCAAAAGGTCCCATGTCTGTCAGATTCATAAGAAAGTTCAGTTCGCCAGGTAGATGAGAAGTACAAATGCAGCGTGTTTGAGGTGCTAGAAGCCGACGCAGCAAGTGGCGACCCGGAATCCCACGTTCTTTTTTGGTGCGTCATCCTTGCAAGTCACACTTGACACATGTTTCTGTCTCGAAGCTGGGGTCTCCTTCATGTCGCCACACCCATAACAGTCTCTCTTGGCTGACCCCCCCTTGGGCCCACATGCGCAAGAACACTCACACGGTGCAGCTCCAGGCATGGTCTGACAGTGGGTGGCAGGAATAATTGATCTCCCCAATAAGGGTTTAAGGGTTTAGGGTTTACGATTTTGGGCCTGCGGACAGTTGTCGACAAAGAGCCCATCATGTGTGACAACTTCCGATACATCTTTCCCAAACAGCAGAGCCCATGCAATAAGGACAGGCATTTATCAAGCAAAGGTAGCCTTTGCCAACTCAAAACCTTCAGCCTTGACCACTCAGCCCTACCGGGACCCTCCAATGTAGTACCTTTTGGTAGTCCTAATCTGAGTCCTAACCCGAAAACCATACCAAACCCAAAAAGGAACTACATTGGAGGGTCTAGGTAAGCCCTCAACCGCAAACCGCAAGGCAATGCGAGGTTCTGTTCTTACACGGGTTCAGGGTATAGGGCATATTCCTTGCGTGACTGAAGTAGCTATAGGGTGCCTTGAATACTTTAGGGTTTAGGGTTTAGGGTTTCACAATGATTTAACATGGGTAATTCTGAATTTAGGCCCCTGGATTACGGGTCTGCTTGTAGCTCCTCTCCAGCTTGCTAAGGCTTTGCCAGTTCGAAATCCTCCTTCTGAAGAAGGTGGGCCACTTCGGTTTTGTTTAAGGTTGCTGGTTGGGAAACCCTAGACCTTAAACCCTCGACCGGCCTAAACCCTAGACCCCAAACCCTCTTGAAGATCAGACCACTTCGTGGAAAGGTGCAAGGCCACAGTTCGGGCAGTGTACTTAAAATCCACCAGATTACTGGAAAATAAAATGACAAACCCTAAGCCCTAAACTGAGTGGGAAATGACATGGAAACTGTGGTTTGGAGCTGTCATTAGAGAAGCCCAAGGTAGAATTAATAACGGACAATCACATGGGGAGTCAAATGGAACATGAAATGAAAGCTGGGGAACTAAACTCCTTAAAGGGGTTACATAGGGAATTATATAGGGGAGCATTATAGCGGCTATTAGGGGGGATACTAGGAGTTTAGACTATGGCTCATATGCAGGGATTGAGGGCTTTGTAAATTTTTATCGGGGCCATTGTCGTCAGGCAATTGCTCCGGTGGGGACGCATTCCTAGATTCAGAGCTCTGCACCTCTCTGTTTTCAGGTCTTCGTCTTATTTCATGAACAGGATGTCCTCCACCCGCAGTAGTTTTCCTCCAGCTTGAGAACAGAACCTGGGTTTAGGGTTAAGGTGCGGGAATTCCTCCATCAACAGTACT